TTGCTTGTTAACTTATCAGGGGTTATTGTGTTAGTTTGGTGAGCATCTTTGATCCTTTTTTATACATAATCCTTTATTATATTGAGTCAATTACTTTGAAAAATCTTGATATTATGTAGTAGAAAACACTACTAACTCATAACTTAATGAGTACAGGTGCGGACCGGGAAGGATGTTGGGAAATGTAATGCAAAAGTGGCAGGTGATAGTGAGATTGTGATAGTACATACCCCCCCCCCCTCCTGGAAGGCGTAACCTCACACTTAACACAGTCCAACCCAGGGAAGGCGCCCTGGAGTCAGGAGAGTTTTAGGTAGAAGGCAGGGGGCCAGAGCGGTGCCGGCAGGATAGGAGTCCAGGGTGGCACTGGTAATGATGGAAACCACAGAGGCGTCGACAGCAATGGAGACCATGGAGGGGCTAAGTCTTTAGGAAGCCATCAAGTGGGCATCTGTAGCATAAATGATTTCTGGCAGGCCAGCAGGTTTGATGACTTTGGGTGGTTCGGCTGGGAAACAGGAAACAGCCTCCATGGCTGTGACGAGGGAGCTAGAAGCACTGGAAATCAGAACGACCTTCATGGCTAAGATGAGGGAACTAGGAGCACTGGAGATAGGATTGGCCACTATGGCCGGGGATGGGAATTTTCTCGGAAGGAGCTACAGATGTATGTGCCGCCCACCCAGACACAAAATGGCTGTAGCCATCAAGGACAGCGCTGCACTCTTTAGGCTGAGCTCTGAGAGTTCAGTGGGCTCCTGGCTGAGATCTGAAGTTAGGGCAGACACTGGAGCAGGTCCTGGAAATTCCCTCTCTGGAGTGGGCTCTAGAATTTCACTTTATAGAGCGGACTCAGGGATTTTGCTCTCTGGAACAGACTCTGGTATTTAGGGACTGGCAAGAAGGAAGACATGGAAGGTGTTCCGTTGTATGTGGTAGCTCGATAGAAAAAACCTCTGTTGCCATGATGTCTGAAGTGGACTGGGGAGATAGCGATTGAGTGGAACTGGCACCTTCATCAACCTTGCCAACAGCGAGAACAAATACAGGTTGGTTTGTTAAAGCAAAACCTTGTGCACAAGGTGAGTAATAGAGCAGTAAAGATGTTGGGAAATGTAGTGCAGAAATGTCAGGTGATAGTGAGATACCCCTATTATAGTAATGATAATTTTTATTGAAATTATTGTATTTTTTTAATCACCATAATCTGGGCAGTACAGAAAATATTACTAATATTACTGTACAAATCACAATGTACAATGTCTGGGAAGATTTGCATAACACCGCCCGAATGTTCACGCAAAGAAAGAAGGCGGAACTTTATTGTTGCTGCGACCGCCGCCGCCATGTTGTGAAAACGCTGTGTGTTTCGTTGCGAAATACATTGTTTGGCCTTCCAAAAGAGGACACAACTAGAAATCAGTGGTGAAGTTGTATTTACAACACTGTTCCAGAACTGAACCCAAATATTCAGATGTGTGCAGTGCATTTTATGGAGGACTGTTTCCTGATCCTGGGAGAGTAGACTACAATGCCGGCTGTTCTGACTCACAGTCTGTAAGTAAGTTTTTTATATTTAAAGAATTTGCCACTGACAATTCAAATGTGAGTTTTGAGCAGTGTATAGTAGCGCTTGTTGTTTGTAATTTCTCTGATCACAAATGCAGACATGGTTTTATGTTTACGCGGTGCAACGCAATGCATAAAAAGACAATATAAGTAATTATAATCCGTAATTATGTCCGTACTGGGTGCTACATATGCCTCGTTTGTAATGTGTTTTATTGGTTTTGTTTCGTCGCACCAGGACATGGCATCACAGTATGGTAAGGGGCGTAATCAAAATTTTTGTCATATGCTTGAGGAATTCAGCCAATCACAACACACTAGATAGCTGGCCAATCAGCATACACCTCACTTTTCAGACCAATGAGCTTTGTAAAAATCTACGCGTTTCAGAAAGGCGGGGCATAGAGGAGGAACAATAATGTACAGTATGTGGAATATAATGTGTTTTTGGAACCTTAAACCACATAAACACATTTCATTACACCAAATACACAAAATAATGTTTTTTAGCAACATCATATGACCCCTTTAATTTTCCCCATTACTGTAATTAAAATGTTATATATAGTATTCATATATATATATATATATATATATATATATATATATATATTCATTTATGTTAATTATAGCAGTTTTTTAATGTCTATTTAGTTTTTATTATTTTTTATTACATTTTTTATTAGTTTTAGTAATTGTAATACTTTAACTTAAGCTAAATGAAAATTTGAAATGTTGCCTATGTATAGATGTGAAAATGTGGAAACAGAAAATATAGAAATACAATTGAATTCAAAATATAAAAAATAGTATCAATGACACTAAAATGACACTCTTCTGAAGTCATATGATGCTTTAAATTAAATCAAAAACATTCTATGATCGTCAAAATTGTGATTTCTATCAAAACATATTAAAATCAATATTTAAATCCTAAACAATAATACTACTGGGTACTAAATAAGATGGTAAATTAACTTACTTTTATCCCAGATTTTATGTTAAAATCTGTCTGAATGTATGAGGGAAAGTATATATTCCTCCTTGGCTAGAACCCTTAAAAGTCAGCAGCAGACAGCAGGCGGTTCAGTAGTTGGGGAACAGATTGCTGGTTTCAGGTCAGCAGACGGCGCCTGTAAAATGCTGCATGGGCATGAATATGATGATATGGACATTTGGCTCCATATAATATTGTATGATAGCGATGCTTCACACGGGACAGTCACTTCAGCGGCATTCAGGGCCATTTTTGTGAGTCATTTAGCACTTTATTGGCAGATAATGTTAGTGAAACTCACCAGCAGTGCAGATTTCTCACAAAAAGCAATCAGGATTGCACTAACGGACTGAAAACCAAAAATAACTGAGACCAGGGCTACATTACACATACAGATAAAAATATGAATGTTTTTTGCTGGTTAAAGTTCATTACAGGCCTTTTCAGAGTGTAGATTTTACAGCATGGCATTATTAAAAAGACTGAAAAATAAGGTGTGAGCTGCTATTCATGTTATTGTTATAGCTTTAGATTCATCTGCATCTGTTTTTATTTCCCGTAATGAGTTTTACTTTATTAAAACTCTTCCTTTTGGTAGTTGGTTATTGTTTTAATTAGTTTTAACTTCTAAAGTTGACTAAAATCACTGGTGTTATTATAACTGATGTTGACAATCTAATCACTTCACATTAGATTTGTTTGTGGACTGAGTTGGGGAGTTATGTGTACATAAACCTCCCGTCCATCAATTAACATCTTATGAAGCTGCATAGTTGTAAGAAAAAAAAACATAATTAAGACTTTTTAAACTTCAAGGTAGTCCATAATCCAGCGCTTCCTAGAAAAAAAAAAAAAAAGAAGAAGTCCATCCCCTGTTGTCCTCTCACATCAAAATACCCACATATTTGTGTAGAACTGTTTTCATTTGTGAACGGTGCTTGAGCTGTGCATATTTCTCTTCTGATTCAGACCAGATGACTTTTTCACTGGAGGAAGCTTTATTATAGATTATGGACTTGTATTTTAGCCAGAAACGACAATTTTAAGTTAAACACATCATAATGATGGATTTGTTTCTTACAAACACGCAGCTTTTGGCTTCACAGGGCATTAATTGATGGACTGAAGTTGTGTGGATTACTTGGATTATTGTGATGTTTTTATCAGCTGTTTGGACTCTCGTTCTGGCGGCACCCATTTACTGCAGAGTATCCATTGGTGAGCAAGTTATATAATTCTCAATTTCTCCAAATCTGATGAAGAAACAAACTCATCTACATCTTGAATGGCTTGAGGGTGAGGATATTTTTCCAGCAAATGTTCTTTTTTGGGTGAACCATTACTTTCATTTGAAGTGGCTTCAAATATTTGTGCAAAAGTGAGTGTTTTGAAGTTCGAATTCCGTTTCGTTTATCCAGCACTGAACATGAATTCTCTGTTTATGTTTGATGCTATATCAGATCGAAATTTAAACTTAAAAAAATAAATGAAGAAGGTAAAGTTAATGTACTACAATTACTAAAACTAAAACTGAAACAAAATGAATGTAAATAGTCATTGTATGTGCTTTTTACATTTTTATTTATTTTTAAATGTAAAGTTAGAATCAAAATTTAAAATCTATTTCAAAATATTAATATTTTAATAGTATATAAATAATATATATTCTGGTTTTTCATAGATAGAAAATAGAAATAGCAGAATATATTTTTCTTTGAGGATGTTTGAGAAGTGTCATTGTAAACTAAAACAATATTGTTTTTATTGAAATAAAGCTGAAACAAAACAAAATAAAATACAATTTAAATATTAGATGAAAACAATCTTAACTGAAACAAAAAAGATTGACATGAAGTACTAACATTACTTAAACTATAAACTGAAATAAAACTAAATTAAATATGAATATAAAAAACAAAGCACATAACAAAATTACTAAAATTTAAATTTCAATATTTAAATAAAATAAAATAAAATATTAATATTAATACTATAATAGTCAATAAATACTAAAACACTACTGTTGGCTAGTAATATTAATATTAAAGTAAAAAAAAAAAAAAAAAAAAAAAAAAGGAAAAGCAAAACAAATCTGACTGGTGTTTATACTAAACAGAGAATGTAAGTGTGATAGGAGTCAATTTATTTGTTCTTGTTTTTAAAGAAAAACAGAAATAGCGTAACATGTTTCATAGAGGATGTTTGATGCATGTTATAAAATTCCCTGTTCTCTTAAAATTTGCTTTATACTGACATATTAAAAGGGCCTTGATGTCTTTCTCAGACAAAAGCAGAACAAGAGGGTTTGGTCATGAAGAAACCCTATGAATCTCCGACCTGCTGAATTAATCTCACATCTCCATTGGTGTGTTTTCCGTCATCCTGATAGATGTCAATGGTTGTTGAGCGTGTGTTTGCTCTCTGGTCTCAGCAGATTCCCTGTTCAGCGGCCTGGGCCTCGGCACAGTGGTGGGTCTCGGGGTGGCAGGTCTTCTTCTGCTACTGGTGCTGGTGGACGTCAGCTGCTTCTGCTTGCGTCAGTGCGGCCTCCTAATGTGCATCACCCGCAAGCTCTGCAGCAAGAAAACCACCACCAGCGGCAAGAGCAAAGAGCTGGAGGAGGGCAAAGCAGCTTACCTGTGAGTTCACCGCCATTCGTTTGCATGAGCCCCACTGTCTCTCAGTCTGTTCTTCTTTCTCATTCGCTCGTCATTCCACTAGATATTTCGCTTTATGTTATGCATGATTATCTGTGAGTATCTCAGTCATATCTTAATGAAAAACAGCCATTAAACCTGAATTATGATGATCACATGTATCTGGTTTGATGGATTTTTGGCAGCTGGTCAGACTAGAAGACCAGTCAGACCAGCTGCTAAACCAGCAAAGTTAGGTTAGTTTTGGTTGTTTTTTGTCAGTAGGACAGCCAAGTCTTATGTTGAAAATGTTGCTCCAACATTGAAACGTCTCCTCGAATCCTGATGGATTTTGTGTGACTGAAGGTTCAGTTTGCTGAAAGTAATACTTTTATCCGTCAAGGACTCATTAAATTGATCAAAAGTGACAGTAAAGATTTATAATGTTACATATTTATAATCGCATTTTTCATGATTCCTTAATAAATAGAAAGTTTAAAAGAACAGCATTTAAATTATGTTCTTTTAAAATTTCTATTTATTAAAGAATCATGAAAAATAAAATGTATCTGTCACGCTTGTGTCGAGGAAGGCACACGAAGACGGAGATAAGTTCCACAAGTAATTTAATAGTAACCAAGAAAAAGGTAATCCATATAGACAAGAGGTAAACACACAGCAATACAAATTTAATACCAGACAAAGACTAGAACCAAAGAGTGAGTTTAAATAAGGCAGGCAGCTGATGACAAACAGGTGATGGGAATGAACTAATGAGCACTAATGAATCAATGAACTAAACGAGGGCACAGAAGAACTAAACAGACCAGATGACGAAACAAAGTGAAAACACAACGAAAGAGTTCATAACTGTTACAGTTCGCCTCCCTCCCGGAAGGCTCGACCTCGCGCCGTAGAAGACCCAACAGTGGAGGGAGGGTGGGGGTTTTGGAGGGGGACGAGGAGAAGGGCTGGCAGGAGGGCAGGCAGGCAGATGACCTGGGTGGCTTTGACGGTGGGAGGAGCCATGGAGGATACAGGAGGATCCATGGAGGAACAGACGGAGGGAGGAGCCAGGGTGAAGAAGGGAACAGAAGGGAACCAGAGCAGGAGCCAGGAAGAACTCAGGCCACAGCCATGATGACGGCCAACGGTGGAGCCGACGGAGGGAGGAGCCATGGTGGAGGAAGGGCTGATGACTCCTGGAGGCTGACCGACGGCGGCGGAGCAGGTGGTGGAGGAGCCCGAGGTGGAGACAGAGAGCCAACGAGCCAGGGGGATGCCGAGGATCCGGGGGCCAGGGTGGAGCCGAGGGCTCTGGCGACTGAGGCGGAGATCTGGAGTGGAGCCAGGGCGACTGAGGACTGAGGACCAAGGTGGAGCTGGAGGGAGGGAGGAGCCCAGCAGAGCCGGTGGGACAGAGCGACAAGGTGTTGCCGGAGGAGCGCAGTCCTGAAGTGATGGCGGGTCAACGCCTGACCAAGGCGGAGCCGGAGGGACGAGAGAGCCCGGTGGAGCTGGTGGATCGACGGGCGATGGTGGAGGTGAGGGAGCTAGGAGCCGAGGTGGAGCCGCTGGGTCAACGAGCCGAGGCGGAGTCTGGGACTCGGAGGCTGGAGGCGGAGGATCAGCCCTGACGCCGATGGAAACTGGCAGACCCACTGCAAATCCACAGCATAGATGGTGGGCTGAGGGTGAGCTGAGGGGCTGTCAGTGGACAGCGGTGGCAGTGGTGAGGATGGATGAAGAGGTGGTAGGAGAGGGAGGTTGGGTGGGATTTTGGGATATTCATTAAAAAATGCCAAAAAAGCCTATAAATCGTCCTAATTTACTGCACAATCGGCCGATGCCGATTAATTAAAAAATGCCAAAAATCGTCCGATTAATCGGCCGGCCGATCAATCGGTCGACGGAGGAAGCGTTATTATGGATTATGCACTCGTATTTTAGCCAGAAGCAATGGTTTGAAGTTAAAGGAGACATAACACACAAAGTTTCTGCCAATCTCATGTTAATCTTGAGTACCTATAGATTAGTACTGCATCCTTCATATCTCCGAAGAGTCTTTAGTTGTAACATATTTATAAAAGACAGATACAGCTTTATGCTTCTCTCAAAAAACTGTCGAAGTCCTGGAGGCGTGACGTGGGCGGAGATAAAGAGTCACGAGCACACAACGTTTTTGTGTAGCGATCATCTGCAAGTTGTGACACTGACAAAAATAAAACGGGAACAAAAACTTGATTGACTTAATTTGTATTTAATTTGTTTATAAAACAGTTGTCACTGAAATGCTGGGAACAAACAAACACACTTGCACAACTCCATTGCTGCTGCAGAGAAACAAACGGCATACACTGTTCCCTTAACGCTGGGTTCTTTGGGAAGCTGAACAAGGTTATCTTTCCCTCACAACCAAAAACACACTTATGGTGACATTGTTGATTTCGTGGCCTAAAAAAAAACATAATGACAAATCCTTCATCGAGCAAGTCCTGTGCAGCGCTGCAGACGACTTCCGTAACCCGAATGAAGCAAGTTGATGGGCGTGTGCTTGCTCTAGTTGATGTGTGTGCGCTCTTCCTGGAGAAATGTCCATACAAGGAATTCTGCCCGTTATGACGTCATACAAAAAAAAAACTTTCTGCAACTTATACGGACCCTGAAGGAGTGCATCATACGGAAATGGAAATACTCCATCATACGTCCAGCCCATTTTTTGAAACTTTGGCCATGTTTAGCATAAGAATTCAGCCGTTTAACAGTGTAAATATGTAAGAATGCATGAAATAGCATTAGACCCCCCCCACATTCTCCAAATCTGATGAAAAACACATCTACACCTTAGATGCCATGAGGGTGAGGACATTTTCAGCATTTTAGGGAACTATTGCAGTCCATACTATGTAAAAATAGTTTGTGAACAGTGTGCAATGATAAACAATAAGTGAGTGAGCTTGAAATAATTAGTAATCATAGTTGTTTGTTTGTGTGCCATTCTGAACATTTCCAGAGTGCACTTGTGTTGCTGTGCGTGTTTTACTGTGATGGACACCAGCATGTGTGTTTGTGTGAGTAGGGTTGATGGCTCAAAGGAGCCCATCGTGGAGATGAGAACTGAAGAAGAGAGAATTACTAACCAGGAGGATGGCAGTCCAGTGCACGAACCCAATGAGACGACCCCTCTGACAGAGCCAGAGTAAGAATTAGAACTGAAATGTGAAGTGCGTCAAACACAATACAGGCTGTTTGGAGTGTTACAAGTGAAATTTAATAACCTAATCATTCAAAAGTTTGGGGTTAGTACGATTGTTTTTTTTTTTGAGTAAAGACATTTATAATGTTACAAAAAAATTATATTTCAAATAAATGCTGTTCTTTTGAACTTTCTATTCATCAAAGAATCCTGAAAAATAAATTATGGTTTCCACAAAAAAAACTTTCAACGTTATTTCAACATTAATAATAATCAGAAATGCTTCTTGAGCAACAAATTACCATATTACATTTATTTTTAATTGTAATAATATTTCACAATATTGTTGTTTTTACTGTGTTTTTGATTTTTGGCCTTTGGTGAGCAGAAGAGACTTCTTTCAAAAACATTAAATAATTGTACCAACCCAAAACTTCAGCTGTAGTTTATGTTGAGTAGTACCTGAGATCTCAGTCTTTGACTCTAACCCCTCTTAGATCTGTTAAAAATCAACCAGGGAACTCATCCAGGTACAATCCTTCAGTTAGCTCTGCCCTAGCAACCACTCAGAATGCCTTAGCAATGACTTACTAATTCTCAAGGCATGTGTGATCTCCTCAAAATAACATAAGCCTACATAACCTTCAAAATTCAAGGCTTTTAAACTTTCAGGCATGGTTTTATCAAGCCAACAATTGATTTGTCTTGTCTAATATTTATTTTACAGTTTATATTATGGATGCACCGATACCACTTTTTCCAGTACTCGCCCGATACCGATACTTGTATTTTTGGTACTTGCCGATACCGAGTACCGATACCAATATTTTTATTGCATTTGTAAATGTTTTAAATATTGGGTACAGAAATCAAAAGAGTATGTATAATGTTAGTTGGTTAACTTCATTTATCAAATAGATAGACAAACCAAAATGTATTCAGACACCTTCAACATTTCTCACATTATCACAGTTTATTTGCTATAGTTTAGAAAATGGTAATAAAATATGACAAGTTAAACTGTGTCAGAACAAATTCAGCTTGATAATGTTATATAACTTTGAAAGGTATGTAATGGATTACAATCAACCAAAAATTATTCAGACAGCTGTTAGTATGATAGTATTTACACAACTATCAATACATAGTCGGGCAAACCTTAGCCTTAATGACAGCCTGTAGTCTCCTGGGCATGCTGTCATCCAGCTTCATGCAAACTTGAACTTCAATTTTTTTCCCAAACTCGGTCAGAATAATTTTTGGTCCCAAATTTTTTAGCAGTTTTACTGGTAGTCCACCGTATGAAGAATTTTTGGGTATAATTTATCACAGTTTACTTTATTTTGCTGTCCTCACTTACATAAATGAACTATAGTGTCCTGCACCCACTAAAAAAAGTATCAAACATTATATCTGGTCTCTGCATCATTTTTGGTTTGACTGTATATCCTTCGGTTATTTTCACACTTAATTATGGCCATTAAAATTTATTTTTTGTGAAAAATTTAAATTTTTGTTACTTTCACTGTTAATTGTTTTGCTCTATGGTACATCATCTTTAATTTAATAGCATTAGAGTTGCTCCATTGCAGCGGCTTAGTACTGTAATCACGCGCTGTGCTGTAATAATGCAGGGAACCACTCGTTATAAATCTCCTAACTGTGATATTTTCAGAAATAGAAGTTGCATTTTTTTCATCTGAAATGTGCTGCGATTTATATTCCAAAGCTACTCATATAATGCAGAAACACTCAAGCAAGCAAAACACGTGCAATGCATGCACATATTTGTACTGGTGCAGAATGAGAGGGACAAGTACAGCCTAGCGCATTTCACACAGGCTAGATTCACTTTCGCCTGAAAGTTGTGTATGCCTAAGATTGAAAATAAATCATGTTTATAGTGAATGCCCCTATAAATGGTCTTATTTTTAAGATTTAGTTTTAATCCAAATGATGCGTGTGCTAAGTGAGTGAACATCAAAGATCACACAACAGAATTGCGCATCAAAGATCACACAACAGAAGTGCACGCTCTCTCTCTCTCTCTCTCTCTCTACCATTAAGTAACATGTGCATTGTTTTAATTACTTGTTTATGACATATCCGACCGAACTACAAACTTTCCAGTGATGTCTGTGAGAAAGATATACTCACTCGACAAACTCGCGCATTTGCGCTCAATCCACTCAGCGTGATTTTCTTATCAGCTTGCACACATCAGCTATACAGGCGTTAATACTGAATGTTTAACATTATATTCATTGCATACATATACTTTGTATACATCCTTAATCTCTAATAACTCCATTCTGCTGTCTGTTGTTCTGTTGTCAGTGTTTATTTGTCTGAATATGGCACTTATCACATGTTGTGTGGTATCGGCGTTTGGTATCGGGGCATTTTAACGAGTACGAGTACAGAAGCTCAGTATCGGGCCCGATACCGGTGCATCCCTAGTTTATATCCAAATGTTTTTAGTACTCCTTAAAACCAACTCTCTTTAGTGTGGTAGCTGGGTTTGTTGAGTTCTAAAGGTCAGAAATAAGTTCAAGCCAACATTCAAATCTCGATAAACTTTTCTTTGCTAGTGTATGTCTTCTCTCGCAATTATAAACTTATAAAACTAGTTAATATTTATAAATATTGTTGATGTAAATGGGGCTTAACTCTTAAACCACCATTGAATCATTTGGTCAGAAATAGGTGGTTCTGATTTGGCTCATTTGTTATAATTAATTTATCAGATGGTTAGTTAAAAAGTTTTTTTTTTTTTTTTATCGGCATGATCAACTGATGTACAGATGCCACTTACATTTTCAGTTTGCCGTGTCTGTTGTAGAACATGTGCATGCTAATGCATGACCTTTCCTTCTGTTGTCAGACATTCTCATCACAGTCCAGTTTGTGTTGCAAAGCATGTTGGATGAGAGAATCATGACTAAACACTGACTTTGACTGCAGGAAACTCCCATTGAAGGAGGAGAACGGCAAGGAGGTGCTCAAGCCAGATTTGATCGAGATCAAAGTCCACACGGACAACAGCATCCACACAAAACAGGACGACAGCAAAGCATAATGGAGCCCGGAGGCATTCCCAGCCTGAGCAAACTGAGACCAAAATGTAGAAATCACAAAATGTCATAAAAGAGAAATGAAAAGAGAAGGGGAAAAAAAGAAGAAATCTTTACATTGGGTGACTGATGAAGGGCGTGTAAATATGTTCAAATACAAACAGAGACTGAGTTGGAATTTTTTTTTTTTAATGATAAATCTACTGTCCTTTCTATTCACAATGACTCCAGCCGTATTTACTGTATTTGGTCCAAGTGTTCAAGTGAGCAACTTGTCATTGCCTGATGGGACACACTTATAGTGTTGTAAAAATGTTGTAAATGTGTTTATAGAGCTTTTTTTATTATACATTAATTTTTATTATATTTTTATTTTCAATACTTTGCATTTTAAAATCAACTTCTAAATGTATGTTCAGTAGTCCCTATAACAGATGACACAATTTAATTTTGTGGTGCTTCTAGTGATAAAAAGCAGTTGCAAATGTTGTACAAAATAATTATCACCACTACTCATTTGCACCAATAAAACATTGAACTCTTTGTTTTACTACCAAATTATATGTAATATCTAATTATTATCAATATTTCAAATACATTGGAAAGGTTTCCGTGACCTCTCACAGGATCTCGGCAAAAAGTCTCACGATTTATTTCCACAACATGATGCATGATGGGATACACTAAGCCTCGAATACTGCTCCGGAGCGGTATTCGAGATAGTGTGGATTTAGTGTGAGTTAAAGGGTTAGTTCACCCAAAAAAGAAAATTAGGCTGCGTTTTACTCACCCCCGATGCATCCAAGGTGTATATGACTTTCTTCTTTCAGACGAATCCAGTCGGAGTTATATTAAAAATTGTCTTTAAATTTTCAAGCTCTATCGTGGCACTCAGCGGGTGTTGCATTGCTTCAGTCCAAAAGAAGTGAAATAAAAAGCACCCTTCCATAAAAGAAAAAAGTGTCTCACACGGCTCCGGGGGGTGAACAAAGGCCTCCTGTAGCAAATCGATATTCAAAATGTAATAATCACTTGAATCTAGCTTGAGCTCACTGTTATAAAATGGAAGCAGTTCCGGGCTGATGACGTATGGAGGTCAGCGTTGCGATTACGTAAGGGCACTGCGCTCTGGCGTTTTTAAGATCTGGGACAGTCTTGCGCACTTACTTCATCGCGCGCACGCGCTCTCAAGTGGCCAAGACCGCAAGCTGACCTCATACGTAATTCCCCCAGAACTGCTTCCGTTTTAGATTCAAGTGATCATTACGTTTTGAATATGGATATTTTTCTTACAAAAACGAATCGATTCGCTACAGGAGGCCTTTGTTCACCCCCTGGAGCCGTGTGAGACATTTTTTTTTTTTTATGGAAGGGTGCTTTTTATTTCACGTCTTTTGGACTGAAGCAATGCAACACCCGCTGAGTGCAACGATAGAGCTTGAAAGATCAAAGACTAGTTTTAATATAACTCCGACTGGATTCGTCTGAAAGAAGAATGTCATATACACCTAGGATGCATCGGGGGTGAGTAAAACGCAGCCTAATTTTCATTTTTGGGTGAACTAACCCTTTAAGGGCACTGCGCTCTGGCGTTTTTAAGATCTGGGACAGTCTTGTGCACTTACTTCATCATGCGCACACGCTCTCAAGTGGCCAAGACCGCAAGTGTGGGTATTTGAACAAGGCAAAACTCTGATTCGTTCTTCGCCTTGTCAACCTTTTGCGTCTCATAACAAGCCCAGTCTCATCCTGTCATGTGTTTCCTTCACTCTTCCGCATTGATTTCTGACCACAGCAAACACAGAGAAACCTCTGTACCCACAAAATATCCAAATAATAAACATACGATTACGATAGTATATGGTTTGTATGTGATTTTCTTGAGATTTGGGGTATTTTCATAACAATAATGAATGTGTACATCTGAAATGCTCATTTGTGCAGCGATATAAAAGGCTATAAATAGCATATTTTTACAACAGTAAACGACCAAATTCCACATGAGATCGCAAAAGGAAGTTATTATAAACACTTGATGGTGGTTTAAAGTGAGTTTTGAGTAAAAGTGTAATAATAATCTCATAAATTGTCTTATGTAGCTTGATGCTAATGTTAGCTCTAATGCAGCTGCAGAACAGGTGCAGCTCTTCTTCTTAATGCATTTTGTCATAATAATTCACGTAAGATCGTAAGAAAAGGTTTTGTTGTATTTTTATAGAAATACTTTTGATAATAGGCCGGTAAATGTATACTGGGATTGAAGCGATGTGGCTTAGTAAACCTTGTAATGCCAGAATAAAGGCTGCTAATGGCTGAATAAAACAAAAGAATAATGATAAAGGAATAATGAGGATAATGTCTCATACCTGGCGGAGGTGTGAAAGGTTCGTCGGGTGAAAACAATAGAATCATGAATGGGGGAGTTTGCCGAGCCAGACATGAGGAGACAGTTTACAGGAGAACTCACAGGGGTCATAAATCAGTTTTATTAGCCTTTTAGCCTTCTCTAAAAACACACATGACATGGTCTTAGAAAATG